GTGCGTCAGGAATTCCTGGCTTTACAGCATTTTGCCTTTTATCTTTCAGTACATATACAGCCAATGAAGAATTTACTCCTGGGGCAATCTTATTTTTTATAGTTTGGCTGAGCTACCCCGCCCCAAGGTATACACTAGAACAACTTTCCCCCTTACTCCTGGGATAGACCTAACTTTTATTGCAGACGTTTTCCCCAGTAATAGCTTGGGTTTCTGAAGTCTTTACCACTTGTTTGCTGCAGTGGCATGTTTATTAGTCAACTCTGTTTTTGTTTTTAAGTCTCAGTTAAGCTCCACGTGGTCCAGTCACACTTTTGTTCATGTTTCTATGATATCTCTATTAGTCTCAACAGGAAAAATATAATTTAGCAGTCAATGCATAATAAAATGGAGACCACTGATACTTATCTAAATTTGGACTAATGAAGTCCTTTCCAGCATGTTTACTGACCACACTTTTGACATCTGCTTCCCTGTGAAAAGCTATCTTTTAAAAAATGGCTATGCCAAACATCTGATTGTCTGGACAAGAGGCTACTGTTAGGACAGAATATGGAGATGGTTTCCAATTGGCAAAGGTATCTGATAAGGATGTATCTCCCTGTCTCTTCAATTTACATGTACAACATATCATTAAAAAGCTGGCTTAGATTTAAATTAAGGTGGAGTGAAAATTGGTGCAAAGAACATTAACAATTTGAGATCTGCAGACGACACCACATTACTGGCAGAACGTAGTGAAGACCTGAGACAACTGCTGATGAGGATTCAAGTGGAAAGTGCCAAAGGAGGATTACAGCTGAACATCAAGAAGACAAAACTGATGGAATTGCATAACTTTAAGGTTGATAATGACAAAATGTTAATGAGGATAATGACAAAATGGAAATTGTTCACAATTTTCTATACCTTGGTTCCATCATCAACCAAAAGTGAGACAACCACCAAGATATCATAAAGAGATTAAGACCGGCAAGGTCAGACATGAAGGAGCTAGAAAAGATCCTTAAGTGTAAGGATGTGACACTGGAAACCAAGATCAAGATAAATCATACCATAGTATTCTCCATTACTATGTATGGGTATGAAAGCTCCTGTCAGAAAGCTGACAGGAAGAAAGCTGATTCATTTGAAATGTGGTGTTGGAGGAGAGTTTTATGTATACCGTGGCCTGCCAAAAGGGCAAAGTGGGTTCTAGATCAAATCAATCCTGAAGTCTTCCTAGAAGCTAAAATGACTAAACTGAGGCTATCGTACTTTGGTCACATTATGAGAAGACAAGAGTCACTGGAAAAGACAATATTGCTAGGAAAAGTTGAAGGCAGCAGGAAAAGAGAAAGACTATACATGAGATGGATTCACTCAAATAAAGGAAGCCACGGCCTTCAGTTTGCAAGGCTGTTAACTGTTAACAGTAGGACATTTTGGAGGTACTTAATTCATAGGGTCGCCATAAGTTGGAAGCGACTTGACAGCATTTAACGCGCACACACTCTGTATATAACAAACCCTAAAACCTTACAACACAGATATATCGACTACTGTACTTATAGTCTTCCTGTGTACATTAATAACACTGTTTCTTGTACTAAATATTTGGAGAAAAATGGGGCTTTGACACCTGAAAAGTCTGTTTTTCCCCTACATCAATAAAAGTAGTTCAAGTAAAATTATCATCTTATCTGTTTTGTATCTTTGCAGTTGTAATGCAAACATTAGCAATGACCCAAGAAGTATTAGCATAAAGAATAATTTATTTATATGCTGCTTCCTCCATGGAGCTCAGGGCATACATACGATCCCCACCACCACCACTTACATAAACTCTGTAACAGATATTGATTGGTCCAAAACCATCCAATAAGATCAAGTTTCAGAAGGAATTTAAATGGAATTCCCTTGGTCCTAGTACCCCATCTACTACACCACACTGACTGTGGAATAATATATGTTAAATTCATTGGTTAACTAGTATCATTAGTATAAGGGTCAAAGACCTGAAGAAAGTCTGGTTACTCACACTAAGCTACCATGAAAGGAAGAACAATATACAAGAATTTGGAACTATACTGATGTTCTCTACATCACAAATACAAATGTTTCATACAAAGCTCCAGTGTATCCAGGAGGGCATCTGCATTCTCCAGTCACATGATCACAGGTGGCTCCATTCTGGCACTGGCATTTTTGCTGGCAGTCATTTCCATATGTCCCTTGGTCACAGTGTTCCTCACAGCGCCATCCCTTGAATCCAGCAGCACAGTGGCAGGCTCCAGTGATGGGGTTACACAGAGCTCCATTCTTGCACTGGCAGCGACTACTGCAGTGGGGTCCCCAGTGGAAACTATCACATGCTGGACAAAAACAGAAATCAAGTGTTACAAGGGCTTCCTTAGCTAAATATTCTCCAAGTACTGATATTCAGCAATGTGAGTATGGCAGTAGTAAAGTAAAATATAAACAGTTCATTTTTTTCCCCTTTTAAGAGTAATTTTTTCTAAAAAGCTGAAACTGAAATATTATTTACTAAATTAAGTAAGGACTAAGTTGTTGGAAAGGAGAATTTCTTCAGGCAAATTGTTAAAGAGGTATATGTGTATATAACACATATGTGTATATAACAGACAATATAAACCAATGAAACTAACTGTTCTCTTTAATAAATTGGGGAAGGGGGATTACAGCCATGAAATACCCCAAAACTGGATTCAAGCTGAAATCAAGTTTCTTTGTATGTCCTTGCTGGACTTTTTACATGTATCATGTTAAGGTTATTTTTTTATATACTGGAGATCTAATGGTATAATACTTTGAAATATACAGGGGCTCTGGCTCAGTGGGAGAGCATCTGCTTGGCATGCAGAAGGTCCCAGGTTCAATCCCTAGTCTCTCCAGTTAAAAGATCTGGCAGTAGGTGATGTGAAAGACCTCTGCCTGAGACCCTGGAGAGCCACTGCCAGACTTGAGTAGATGATACAACTTTGATGGACCAAGGATCTGATTCAGTATTAGGCAGTTTCATGTGTTCCTGTGGCTAATGGCAGCTCAGGGGGATTTCTATTAGGGAAACAGTGCAGGCAAAGGATTAAACCTCTTGTCCCAACACTACAGCCCCAGTCTGAACTGTGGTGCTTACTGTCATTAAAGTATGCATACAGAGATCTAATCACTAATTCTCAATATAATGTGTAAGCCACCTATAACAATTCCCCAACTTCCCTTTTGCTGGGCAGTCCCTTTTCTCCTTCCATCTGTCCCACCCAGTTGTTTAAATGTATTTAGATATATGCTGACCAGCCCAGGGAACTGAGGAACCAAAAATATCCTTCATTTGTATATGTCAGATTATGCCACAAGAGAGGCTGGTAGTAATTCAAAACAAACAAATGGCTTTATTTCACTTTTGATGGGAAACGGTCAAATAGGAATCAGGTTTAGAACTTGGCAGGTGAACAGGCAACAGCAATAGATAGGTTGTAACAATAAAGTAGTTGTTTGGTTCTACCGACAGGTCTTTAAAACTTGGCAGTCATGGTTTAGATAAACAGGCATAAGCTTCTTTGTCTCCAAAATACTCAAGTTTGTGAAGGCAGGAACAAACACACAAAGTCCAATTTTCCTTCTTAAACACTTGATCAGGATCACCCCCTTTACTAGGAACTATTTCCCTCAGCGATGGACTACTGACCCCACTTGCTTTTTCAGTATCCTCTCTTGATCCATGACTCTGCTTAACTGACTTCACAGTCCTAACTGCCACTTTCAACTGTAGAATTCCATTTGAACTTCCTGTCCATCAAGGTTCTCAGACCAGGTTAATACATTAACCATTCGTGGTCTGTTACACTGCCCCTAAGACAGATCATGACCAAAGGAAAGCACTTTTTAGTCCCATTAACTGAAATGAGAGAAATTCAAGCAGGGGCAAAGGAATCTATGGGATTTAAAAAAAAATCAGTGGCTTGGATCCCACTGAAAAGTATGATTTTCCTGCCTGTCCTTCCCATGGCAGCCTGAAATTGCTGGAGTGAGCATGCCTGGACATTGAGGGTATTATAGGTATTATCTCCTTGAATGGGATGCCTCTCTTTGTTTTAACCTGAGAGCTGCCCTCTGACCCCACCTCTCTCTCACTTTGTTCTCTCACTCACTGCACATGACCTTCCATGGAGACACACCTCTCTGCAGGTCTCTCCTGTAGATACAATGTCCTTATATTCCCACAGACATGATGCCAGACAAGCCGGCCATTTGTGAATAGGAAAAGTACTCTTTCGATTAGACCAGACTGCTCAGTCTGGAGGAAGTTGACAGATTGCTTGCAGTGGTATGCCCAACCACGTGCAGCCTTGACCCGTGCCCTTCCTGGCTTATTAAAGCTGGCCACGAAGGGTTCCGAGGTCCCCTAAGGGATATTATCAACAAGTCCCTCTCTGAGGGGCAGTTCCCAGGGGCACTCAAGGAAGCAATGGTCCATCCTCTTTTGAAAAAAAATCTTTGGATCCGGCTGAATTGGCCAACTATTGGCCAGTTTCCAATTTGCCCTATTTGGGCAAATTAATTGAGAGGGTGGTGGCGATAAAGCTGCAGGGCTTTATGGATGACGCGTCCGTACTAGACCCCTTCCAGGCAGGCTTTTGCCCGAGACATGGGATGGAGACGGCATTGGTCACCTTGACGGATGACCTCTGGAGGCATCTGGATCAGGGCGGTGTGGTGGTACTGTTGCTGTTAGATCTGTCAGCCACGTTCGACACGGTTGACCACCAGTTGCATACCTACTGCCTCACCGACATGGGGATCCAGGGGCTTGCCTTGCAATGGCTTGCCTCCTTTCTCCAGGGTCGGAGACAAAGGGTGGCGCTGGGGAACAGCAGTCCATGAGACACCCGCTGGAGTGCGGTGTGCCTCAAGGGGCAGTTTAAGACAGATAAAAAAAAATATGGATTTACAGAGGAGAAAAATGAAATGGAGAGCATTTGGGAAAGAGGAGGGGAAAAAAAGATTTCAAATATGTATAAAATTTTACTAAAATGGTATACGGAAGATGAGACAGTTAAAGAGCAAATGTTAAAGTGGGCAATAAATATGAATAAAGAAGTGACGATTGACTCTTGGGAATATTTGTGGAAAAACTCTATTAAAATATCGACCTGTACCAATGTTAGAGAAAATTGTTATAAAATGATGTATAGATGGTACATGACTCTGAAAAAAATAGCAAATATGAACCAAAATATGTCTAATAAATGTTGGAAATGTAAAAAACATGAAGGCTCATTTTACCATATGTGGTGGACTTGTGAAAAAGCTGTGGACTTTTGGACGAAAATCCATAGTGAAATGCAGAAGATACTACAATGCTCTTTTAAAAAAGCACCGGAAATTCTGCTTTTGGGACTAAAAATGGAAGAAGTCAATGTGGATAAAAAAACCTTATTCTGGTACTTAATAACGACAGCAAGAATGCTATATGCACAATATTGGAAACTTGAAAAAGTACCAGAGATTGAGGACTCTATACATAAAGTTCTGTTCATGGCAGAAATGGATAAAATTACCAAGAAATTGAACAACACAGAAGACGAAGAATTTTTTGAAGAATGGAAGGACTTTAAGAACTATCTGGAAAAGAACTGGGATGTGACAAACAATTTACTGTGTTTAGAACAATACTAAGTAAAAAGACGTTATCTTTTAAAATGATTAGAAATATGATGTTAGCAACTGATGAAATATATATAAGTAAGGGGAAGGGGGTGAAAGCATTGCGGGAAGCCACAGGAGGGGGGAAGGTGTATGGATTGTAGGGTAAGTAATCGTATATGTACTTTTCTTTTTAAAGTTTTAATGGACAAATGTTGAATACCTATGATTGGAAAATAATAAAACTTTGTTTACCGAAAAAAAAGGGGCAGTGCTGTCCCCGATGTTATTTAACATCTACATGCGTCCCCTTGCCCAGATTGCCCGGAGGCATGAGCTGGGGTGTCACCAGTATGCTGATGACCCCCAGCTCTATCTGATGTTGGGCAGCCAGTCAGACTCCAGACCGGAAGTTCTGGACCGGGCATTGCAAGCCGTGGCTGGTTGGCTTAGACTGAGCCAGCTGAAGCTGAACCCAGTGAAGACCAAGGTCCTGTGCCTGAGTTGGGGCAGCACAGGGGTGGGGCTCTCACTCCCGGCCTTCGGTGTGGCACCATTGGTGCCAGCACCGGAGGTGAGGAGTTTGGGAGTGCTCCTGGATGCCTCCTTAACTATGGAGGCCCAGGTAGCAGCCACTGCTAAGTCGGCCTTTTACCACCTTTGGCTGATTTGGCAGTTGGCTCCCTTCCTCGGCCACGATGACCTGGCTACAGTGATCCATGCGATGGTCACCACGAGATTAGACTACTGTAATGCTTACATGGGGCTGCCCTTGTCACAAATCCGGAAGCTATGCCACACCCCCTGACATCACCGGAAGTGTGTCCTCCCCACAGCCGGCGGCGACCTCCAGCGGGCACCAGCAGGGAGCTCCAGGCCCCGCCCTCCCACACCTCGCCCGGGGGGATGGCGTCCCCCCGCGTCCCCCCCCAAATGACCCCTGCTGTACAGCCTACAATAATACTAGAGTTCAACGTTTCCTATTATTAGCTACACATATTGGGGTTCAATCAGTCCTTTTGTGGGCACAGAGCTTAGTACACATGCATGGAAGGATGCCCACTAGATATAACTGAGTCATTTCCTTCCCTTGCTTCTCTTTCACACACAGCTACCATACCAGGTTACTATGTAGGACAGAAGTCTGTGATTGTATTTCCAGACAAAACAGAAAGGATGGACAGGACAGGAGGACTATTAGAAGTGCACATGACCTTGCATTCCCCAAAAATGCTTCATGCAGTGCAGGCGAGAGTGAGTGAGAGAGAGAGAGAGAGAGAGAGAGAGAGAGAGAGAGAGAGAGAGAGATTTGTATATATTAAGTATCAAAGAAAGCCTAACATAAATTTCCAAAATCTCTTGTGCGTTTTTCCAAGAGAAAATATTAAGTAGAGATTTTCAACAGAAGAACTATAAGTAACCTACAAAAAGGTCATATGGAGTTCACCAGGAATTTGCTAAGCACGTGCTCAGAGCATCTGCTTTTAATTTTTATGATTTATTGATAACAATAGTGTCGTGGCAAAATACCAGAGTAGCTACTTGCCGATCATACACATTCAGCTCCTTAGTGATTGACAACTATTGTTCTCATAAACCTTCTCCAGAGGCAGAGCAGTCAGGCAGAGAACAGACCTACTTTCTTAGAAGAGACAAAAAGAACACAAGACATTTCCTCAGGGTAAAAATTACTCTGATGAAAAACTAG